TTACTTCAGTCGATCGGCTTTCTTTAATCGATGGCAGTTACCAATTGCGTTTTTCACTCTTCCGTAGCTGTCTGATATTTCTTTGATTTTTTCATTCATCTTCATTCTGTGATTTGGCCAATGCTTAGCCTGATTAGTTAATTTCTTTTTTTTTTATTGAATTTGTTCATTTCAGTTATTAAAGAAATACAAAATCAAAGTCAAGAAAAGGTAGATGCTAATCTAATGCGATTGCGATAGGGTGTGGGTTGCTATGTGTGGTCAAGATGATTTGGGTTCTTCGCAGCGATTTATACACATATCGTATATCGAAATCCAAAACAGCAGCCACATTTACATCCACACTCGCGGTTCTTAATAAATACTAAGTCATTTCTGTATAAAAATACGTATACTTCTGGTTGCACAGATTTTCAATGACTCAATTGATTATTAATTACTTGAGAAATCGTTTAGCAGACAACCATGAATTGAAAACAGGATAAGCAATTAGAAAATAATTTCGTGCGGAATCTTTCAATTTTCGATACTCGATATGATGCAAAAATATACTTTTCATTGTAGTTTAGAATGAAACTTTCCCATTCAACCATAGAAAAAGATTTGGAAAAAAGTAATCGTCAGATGCTCTCTAGCTATATTACTCTATTCTAGTACGGTTAATTGTTTTAAAAAGAAAGAAGTTTTGAACAATTTTTTTTGACTATATTAATGATTCGAATTCAGAAAAACCTTTCTATTCGTCTTCTTCATTTTAATATAAACCAACATGAGATAACTCAGATCATAATTGTCTTAAATATAATATTGTTATCGCTATCTTTTCCAATATCGAAACACAAATAGGAACACACAAGTACTTCGCTTGTTAGCGTCCTACTGACCAATCTTTTTCATAAAACATAAAGGAAGGTCTACAAGATATCTTACTTTCTACAATAATCTCATCATTACCAACAATTATTGTATATTTTTTTTATCGAAAACTAACGTAAGTATCTACATGCTATTCTAGAACTATTATATTCTATTACATGACATCCACTAACGAAGTCGGACTTGCATCAGATCGCGTTCGAAATCAATTTGGAGCCACTTTGGAAGATCTACATTGTTCGATATGTCATAATATTTTATGGAAATCAGTGGCTTGTCGAACATGCGAAACTCCCTTTTGTTCGGCATGCATTAAA